CCAGCAGTGTGCCCTGGTGGCCAAGAAGGCCAATGGCATCCTGGCTTGGATCAGAATGGTGTGGTGAGCAGGACAAGGGAAGTCATCCTGCCCTGTACTCGGCACTGGTGAGGCCTCACCTCGAGTACTGTGGTGTTTTGGGCACTTCAGCACAGAAAGGATGTGGAGGTGCTGGAGCAGGTCCAGAGAAGGGCAATGAGGCTTGTGAAGGGTTTGGAAAATCAGCCCTATGAGGAGAGGCTGAGGGAGCTGGGGCTGTTCAGTCTGGGGAAGAGGTGGCTGAGGCCTTATTGCTCTCTTCCAGTACCTGAAAGGTGCTTACAGTGAGAGTGGGGTAGGTCTCTTCTCACTGGTGACAGGTGACAAGACAAGGGGAAATGGCCTCAAGTTGCACCAAGATAAGTTTAGGTTGGATGTTAGGAAAGACTTCTTTACAGAAAGGGTGGTTAAACATTGGAATAGGCTCCCCTGGAGGTGGTTGAGTCACCGTCCCTGGATGTGTTTAAGAGTTGTTTGGATGTGGTGCTCCAAGATATGATTTAGCAGAGGGTTGTTAGAGTTAGGGTACTATGGCTAGACTGCAGTTGGACTTGATGATCCTTCAAGTCCCTTCCAACCTGAGTAATTCTATGATTCTATGATTCCCCTATCAGCAGATGATGAGCAAAGGGCCCATCTCTCTGCGTGCCCCTGGCTGCCATCAGCTCTGCAGGCTGCCAGGGCTCCACGTGGGGCTCCCTGGCCTATTGTGTGCTCTGACAAAGCCATTCCTCAGCATCCCCTCACACTGCTTACTGTGCTGCCATACTGAGCTCTTCACAGCTCTTCGTGGTGGGCACAGCTGTGGTGTGTCTGCATTACCGTGATGCACAGCCTCACAGCAGCCTGTTTTTGCACTTGGTGAGCTGTGGGATGCTGTAGCTTTAGGGAGGTTCTGCTACGAGAGCAAAACTGCTGGTCAGACATACAAAGCTTTGTGCGATGTTTGGCTGTGTCTCATTCTGAGCCTCAGACAGTTCCTGTGTCTGTGTTGGGATGCAGATGGGGAAATCAAAACAGAGTGGGTGCAGGGTTTCTCTGAAGGCCTCACCTCCAGGTGTGCTCCCCCTGTTCCTGTGGCCCATCCGTGTGTCTTTGCTGTTCCATTTGGGAGAAATGGGTTTTTGTCAGCAGCACCCAACCTTTGCCCATCTCACGTTAAGTGGCACTGAAGCTATTTTTCAGAATGTTTTTCAGAATGTTTTTGTCTTTCAGAGGTGGCTTTTCAGTGGCAAAGAGCTGAGGGTTTCTTGTTGTGCAATTCATGCTACATCTCTTCATTTTGCAGTTGTTGAATCATTCCTTTTTCCTCCTTTAGCTAAAGAATGTGAAATATACCAAAACTTCTTTCAAACACCCCTCTCATCTTGGGATCTGGACCCTAAAATTGGAGCAGGTCAGTGTAGGGGAGGTGAATCCATCAGCACTCCTGTTCAGAACTCAGGGCGGTCTGAAAAGCGCTGTGCCATTGGTTGGGACTGGATGGAGCTGTGGCAGCGTACAGAAAATTCTGATATTCTGTGAAAATATGGTGCAGAACTGAAATTGGGTCCTACAACAATTCGGTCCCTGTGATGCTCTTTTCGCTGCTTTTAACTTCTATCTTGGGGGTTGGCACTAAGCTCTCTTTTTCTCAAGATGCTGTGAGAAACATTTCATCCCCACGCCAAATAAATGGTGTTCTGTAAGACGAAGGGGCTGTGTCGGCATCTCTTCCTTTTTTTTTTTTCTTCTTTTTTTCTTTTTTTTGGCATCGATGCATTTCTTAGGCATCACGAAGGGAAATCCCGTCCAGCGGCGATTCGGGGCAGCAGGGGGCAGGAGCGGAGCGCGGAGCTGGGGCAGCCCGAGCCCGGCTCGTTGGGGCCGGCGGACACGGGAGCTGTGGGTGCCCATCCCCGGCGGTGCCCCGTGTCGGTGGGGCCGGGCAGCCCGTGCTGGTGGGGGTATCCAGCCCACGGTGGGCGTTAGGGATCTGTCAGGTCCCCTCCAGCGCAAGGCATGCTATGACTGTACAAAATGATGCTCTGTAGGCTGCTGTGCTGGTTTAGCAGTGTGAGTGAGTGAACATCCCTAGGTCGGGTTTCTGTGCTCTCCCATGTGCTGCTGGCACCGGTCTTTGGGATCAGAGAGTTGCTGTGCGTGTCCCTGTGCTGGTGCCATCCCTGGGCCCTCTGCATGAGGGTTCCTGCCTTCTGCTGCTGGGATCCAGCTCTGATCACAAACACCGGCGTTCTGTGCAGGGTCACAAACCTGCCTTACCTGGGGAGGTAAGCAGAATTTACAGCCATACCCAGGGCTGCGCTCAGAGCCAGGAAAGGAGTGGGGGCTGCTGGCGAGGGGCCGGCTGTCCTGGCTGCGGCCGGGGCTGAGCTCATGCTGTCCAGCTGCCCAGTGAGCAGCAGGAGTGCAGCCCGAGCTCTGCTGGTGGCTGCAGGATGCGCTCATCACTGAATGCTGTCCAGCACACGACGTCACCGTCACCGTGGTGCCATCGGGCCCCTTGGCCCCTGCCCATGGGGCACAGCATGGAGCTCACAGAGTTCCTCCTGCACCTGGAGCTGTGTGCCACTGCAGTACAGGGCAATGGGATTTAAGTGACACACACTGCCCGTGTCACAGATAGACAGAGGTCTCTGTGAGGCTGCAGGGCCCTGCATGGCTCCTCTCGATGCCCTGGCACAGCCACTCTGCTGCACCCTCTGGCTGTGCCCGCACCCATGGGTGTCAGTGTCTGGGTGCTGCAGCAGGAGCTCCTGGCAGCCCAAAATGCATCACTCAGGGCCACGCTCTGCTCCCGACACTGGCAGTCCCCCTCCGGGTGCCGGGCAGTGCCAGGGCCACATGCAGCTGCTGCCCACAGTGCTGCCTTTGTGTGGGTACTGCTGTGCTCCTGTCCGGATACTCTGGCTGCACCACAGACAAAGCTAGGACTGCCTAGGGTTTACTCTGCTTGGACTCCATCTCCCCACTTTTCTGCATGCCTACAGCCCTCGTGCACCCATCCCTGGGTGAGCTGAGCTGTGCAGCTTCTCTCCCCCTCCTCCAGTCCCATCCCAGTCCCCCAAGTCCCCAGGCTGTGTTCCCAGCTGAGGATTCGCCTCCTGGCACTGCTGTGCATGGCGGGGGCTCCCAGCAGGGAGGCACGGTGCCCACGTTGGATCGATGGATGCAGCATCAGTAACTATTTATATTTTTCACCAAGCCTTTTTTTATCCTTGTAATGATTCCTGCACCCATGCGTATGGCTGTGGGAGCTCCCTGTCCTGCCCAGCACGACGATGGACACAGCCCCTCTGCGAGGATGGTGCAGCCGTGAGCATGCAGCAGCAGCAGCAATGGCAGCAGCAGGCTGGGAAGCGCAGCGCGGTTCCTTGAAGGTTTGTTCTGGTTCCTATAGAAACTGGAGGCTGCTCCCAGTGGGAGGGCAGCAGGGATGGGTGGCAGTGGGTGTCTGGTAGGGCAGGGAGATGTTGGGGTTCTGCCTGGAGCATGAACTGTGGGTGCTGAATGTGCCCCGAAGAGCCCCCTGGCCGGCCCAGTCCTGTGCACACAGCACACGGTAGCAGTGCTGAGCCACAGTGCTGTGGCCAAGCTGCCAGCAGGATGCCCACTCTGTGCCCTGTGTGGTGCCGGGCTTTGCTCATCCTGGCAGCAGCTCCGAGTGCTGAGCCAGGGCAGTACCTGCGGGAGGAGAGGAGGAACGTGCCCCGTGGCCTCCTTTTTTCTGCTGCCTTCAGGCAAGCGGGGATATTTTAGGATGATGTGACAACGCCACCATCCCGCGCATTCACCCCCTTCCTACCTCCCCTCTGCAGGAGGAGAACTCTTCCATTGGGATAACGGCTGCCCTGCACCACACACTCGGCTGTGCTGGGGGTATGAGTGCTAGGCTGGAATGCAGCAGTTCCCCAGATCCACCCTGGCTGAAAGATTGTGGGGCTAAGGGGGTTCTACCTGTGGAACCCCCTGGCACTGCTCACTCCCAGCTCCCTCCCTGAGCCCCCAGTTCTGGGGGTGCCAAAGCTGTGCCAGAGGCGAGGATGTCACACCTGGACCCCCATTGGCCCTGCAGGAGCCTTCCATGGCCCCACACAGGGCTGGCAGCACAGTGGGGATGCCGCAACCCATACCTTTAGGTATGGAGAGCAGCAGCACACCGCAGCCCTCATTGCCATCCCCTCAGCCCCACAAAACTCACAAAGCTCAATGCAGCCCTGTGGAGCTCAGAGCAGCCCTGTGTTGCTAGGAACCCCCACCGTTGCCCACTGCCCACGCGTGCCAGCCCGGCCTGGCACAGCACACGGGCTGGCTGGGGGCCGGGCGCTCCCGCTCCTTCCTAGCAGGCGAGGAGTTAAAAACTCAGCCCTTGTGATGAATATTTAAAAGCAGTGTTCAAGCTGGAGCCGAGGATTTCTCCAGGGCTGGCAGCGCTGCATCCCTTCCCAGCCCTGCTGCCCGCCTGGGCGCACTGCGGAGGAGGACGGGGGCGTTGCAGCGGGGCTGCCAGCATGGGGCCGCTGGGGCTGGGGGTAACTTTTGTCACTTTGCCTCTTGTCATCCGAGCGGCTGTGGGAGGTGAGATGCGCTGCCTGTCTGCTGCACCGTCGTGGTTGGGGCTGCGGAGAGATGGGCACGGGGTGCAGGTGGCTGGGGGTGATGGGGTGGCACGGTGCCAGGCGGGGGGGTACAGCAGTGCCAGCATTCTATTATCTTTCTTATGTGTTGGGTGGAATGCATGTCTGTGGTGCTTGGGGCTCGGAGATGTGGTGCAGCCCAGGAGCTGTGTTCTGCACCCTCCTCATGGGACATCCCTGTGCCCTCCTCATGGGACATCTCTGTCCCCGCTGCGCTCAGGGAGGTGTCAGCCCTGCTAGGTGGTGTCTGGGATGTCAGACAGTCATTCAGGCAGCTGGGATTGAGGTTTCAGTCCCTCTGCCCCATGTACTCATAACCAGGGAAATGCCACTGAGGATGACGCCTCAGAGCAAGTGGGGCTGGGGTGTGCAGCACTCTGCTATAGAGCAGAGAGCGTCCACCTGGCTCGTGCCAGGGATGCTCACAGTTGGGTGAAGGCAGCGCTTTGTGGCTCTGAGGGTGTGCAAGAGGCTCAGTTCCCACTGGATGGGAAGGAAAGCCTGAAGTCACTGCCTTGGGACAGTCCTCATTCCCAGCCCTGTGGCTGCAGCCTCACATAGCAGTGCGGTGAGGAGCTGGATGCAAAGCCAGCAGCACAGGTGGTGCACACAGCACTGCCTACGGCCTGTGGCTGGAACAAAAGCGGGGTGAGAGGGGAACCAGAGGTGAGGATGGCCTGCAGGCAGGGAGTGCTGGGGTGGCTGAGTTCCCCCACACGGATTTGGATGGGTTGGTGGGACACGAGTGGAGCAGAGCCGCCGTGGGCAGCAGCCACGCTCCTCACCCCACTCCCAGCACAGCACAGAGCGAGCTGTCCCTGCACTGACAGCAGCGAGGTGGGAGGGAAGCGGCTCCGCGTAGCGCTGCTCCGGGCGGTGTGGGCGCACCTCTGCCCACGGCCACGCTGTGTAGAGATCTGCAATACGGGGGGGCTTAGGGAGTGGGGGCCTCTGCAGCCCCTGACTACAGCTTTCTCCTGCAGGGCAGTGGTGCTACGACTCACAAGACCCGAAGTGTGGTGAGTGGGGATGGTCACAGCTCTGGTCGGTGCTTCCCTGCCCAGTGCCTGGAGGCACGTTGGAAGCACACGTATAATAGCTTGTAAGAGGTTAATTAAGGATCAGGGAGCATGTAATCAGCAGTTACAGCCCAATTGCTTTATAGCCCTCAGGTGTGTGCTCGCTGTGCTGCAGGTCAGCCGTGTCCGGCAGCGCTCCAAGCATTGCTGCCCGGCACAGACCCGGCTCCAGCAGCAATTAAACCGTGCTGGGGCTGGCGGGGGGCGGTTGGGGCAGCACAGAACAGGCACGTGCTGAGGGCACCATCCCTTAATGAAGGCAATGGGTAACAGGGAGCTCATGGGGTGGGCTGCAGCTCCACAGGTTTCCAAGTAAAATCTGGAGTAACAGGGAGAGAAGGGATGGAGATGGGGCAGGGTCTATGGTGGGGACAGGGCTGCCCTTGGCTCCGTGTCCCCCTTGGGGGTGGTGGTGGCACTGCAGGTGCACCCATGGCTGTGCTCCCTGCAGGCCCCAGCCACTGGAAGGAGCTGAAGGACACCTGTGGCGGTGACAAGCAGTCTCCAGTTAACATCGACCGGCGCTGGCTGCAGCGGGACGGCAGCCTTGGGGACATCATCTTTGAGGGTTATGACCAGGCCCCCCCCGGCAAGTGGCGGCTGCTGAATGATGGGCACACGGGTGGGTGTTCTGCTCCAGCCAGGGCTCAGCTCCACAGTGGTGCTGCCCCATGGCCCCCAGCCCTGTCCCTCTCCTATCATTTGCAGTGATGCTGAGCCTGGAGAGTACCGAGCACATTGCCATCAGTGGTGGGGGCCTCCCGGGCCGGTACCGTGCACTGCAGCTGCACTTCCACTGGGGCAGCCCATCCAGTAATGGCTCTGAGCACGCTGTGGATGGGCAGCAGCTTCCCATGGAGGTAGGCAAAAAGCCCCTTAGCACCACAGCCCTTTGATTTCCCATCCTGGTGCCTGGCTGCTGGTGAGGCCAGGTGTATGCTGAGCCCCCCATGTTTTCTCCAGCTGCACATTGTCCACATCAATGTCAAGTACCACACCTTGGGAGAGGCCAAGGGGCATCCAAGCGGGCTGGCTGTGCTGGGCTGCTTCCTCCAGGTTGGCTGCAAGTGCACGGGATGGGTGCTGCCATGCATTGGTCTTAGCAGAGCACAACTGCAGGGCCCATTCACTCTTTGCAGGTCTCAGAAGCCGCAAACTCCAACTACAACACTATCATTGGGGGATTGAGGAACATCTCCCATGCTGGTGAGGTGCCCTGGGGCTCTGCCCTGGGTTGGGAGGGGAGAGACCCTGTGGCATGCTGGGGGTGGTGGGGCTGAGTGCCCATGTCCTGCTGTGCAGGGCAGGCAGTGGACCTGGCCTCCACCTTCCGCCTTGGCACGCTGCTGCCGCACGTCGCGCAGCTCTCCCGGTACTACCGCTACCAGGGCTCCCTGACCACCCCTGACTGCAGCGAGGCCGTCATCTGGACCGTGTTTGAGGAGCCCGTGGGCATCAGCAGGGAGCAGGTAATGGGATTACCTGCCGTGGGATGGAAGGGCCCAAAAGCCGTGCTGTGAGCATCCCCAGTCCCTGTGCATTTTCTTGCGCCTTGTAGGCGAAGTAAAGGGGACATCTGTAGAAATGTGGGGATGGAGAGCTTGAGAGGGGCACCAAGAGGAAAGCGGGTGGGTTGCTGGATGGGCAGGGGGGAGAGGAGGGGACTGGCGGGGATGGATGAAGCCCTTCTGCATTTCCCGGGCATCTCAGCAGATGCGTTTGCTGGCCGCTCTGCAAGTGCTCTGCTAGGCTTCACCATCCGCTGCGAGGCGGCACAAAGCGCAGTGTGTGCAGAGCCGTGTGCTGGCCGTTAGGGGGAAAGACGGGGCTCCTGCGCTGCGCTCTGCCCGGCAGCGTCTGTGTTTGTGCCTCGCTTCGCCCCGTGCCTCACGGCCGCAGTGCCCGCGGTGCTGCTCCCACCCGCACCTCTCTCCCCGCAGCTGCAGGCGTTTGTCAGCACCGTGCACTTCCCGGCCTCGGGCGCTGCGCCCTTGAAGATGACCAACAACTTCCGTCCGCCACAGCCGCTCTACAGCCGCAAGGTCTTCTCCTCTCGGGATGCCACGGCCAGCTGTGGGTGTCCCCGCTGTCCCCTCGCCCCGCTGCTCCTGCTGCCCCTGCTCGGCCCCTTCTTGTCTTCCCCTTAGGGCCCGGGTTCCCTGTTGCCTGTTCTTTGCATAGCGGTGAGGAAATTTCTGGTTTATGGGTGATGAGGAAAAAAATGGTAAAAAGCAGCTGGGGCCGTCAGCTGGGTGAGGATGTGGCAGCCCTGGTGTGGGCTCGGTCATGGGGCTGTCAGGGCTGCAATAAAGGTGAGCTCCTGGCCCCGTGTGCGGCCCCTGGCTCCGTGTCTCTGTGCGGTGCCGTGGCAGGGACACACACACATCTGTGCGGCCATGGGGGAGCTGGGTGCTGCGGGAGGGGATGGGACGGCACCGGGTGACACATAGCGTGAACCCCAGGGAGACAAATCCTGGCCCAGCACGTGTCCTTGTGCTCAGCATACACACACACACGGCCACGTAGCCTTCCCCAGCCCTGGCCTTGGGGACGTGGCACATCTCAGCCCTGCACAGTGCAGCCTGAAGGCCCTTTCCTAATTTTAGGCTGCAGCTGTGTCTGCCCCAGGTCCAGGCACTCCCAGCCCCCTAAGTTATGGAATAAGGGCACAGGGTCATGGTGGGACTGAGCAATCCCCTGATGTAAGGCAGCTTAGGTGTGCAGGTGATCCTGGCAATGGTTCCCGTGCACCCACTGCAGACTGGAGCAAGGGCCCAGCCCTCCATGTGCTGCTCCACAGGGGGCTGGGAGGCCCTGGTGTCACCCCTGCATGGCTCTGCTTGGTTGTGACTGCCGAGCTCCAGCTGCCTCCAGTTGGGAGCCACGGCTGTGGCTGGGGGGTGCTGACCTGCCCCAAGGGCTCCATAAGCACAGGGCCCAGCTGTGTGCCCATGCTGTGCTGGACGTGGGAGTTCAGCTGGGGCAGGGTGAGCTGAGATACAAGGGGCCATGCTCGTCCTTGTGGAGCTGTGGTCACTGCTGGGCTTCTTGCCTTGGGCACTGCCAGGGATGGGGCACCTACAGCTTCTCTGGGCAGCCCGTGTCAGGGCCTCACCACCCTCTGAGTGAAGAATTTCTTCTTTACATCTAACTTAAACCCATCACCTTTCAGTTTAAAAGTGTTACCCTTGTCTTAGCACTACGCTTTGCAGTATTTGGGGTATTTCACAGAGGCACAGAACTGTAGGGGTTGAAAGAGACATCCAGAGATCCTCCAGTCCAACCCCTCTGCTGAATCAGGTCCCCTGGAGTAGGTCACACAGCAAAGTGTCCTGGCAGGCTCTGAATATCTGCAGAGGAGACTCCACCACCTCTCCGGGCAGCTCTTCCAGTGCTTGGTCACCCTCAAAGCAAAGCAGTTTTTTCCTCATGTTCAGATGGAACTTCTTATGTTCCAGTTTGTGCCTGCTGCCCCTCGTCCTGTCACTGGGCACTGCTGAAAAGAGCCTGGCCCTGTCCACTTGGCTCCTGCCCTTTGGTCTTCTCCAGGCTGAACAGTCCCAGGTCCCTCAGCCTTTCCTCATACAGGGGATGCTCCAGGACCCTCATCTTCTTTGCAGCCCTCTGCTGGGCTCTCTCCAGCAGTTCCCTGGTCTGTCTTGAACTGAGGAGCCCAGAACTGGGCACGGCGCTCCAAATGTGGCCTCACCTCCCTCGCACTGCTGCCCACTCTCATTGCAGTGCTCCCCAGGATACCACTGACCTTCTTGGCCACAGGGGCACACTGCTGGCTCACAGCCAGCTTGCTGTCCAGCAGGACATCCAGCTCCTTCTCTCAGAGCTCATTTGCAGCAGCTCAGCCCCTAATCTGAACTGATACATGCTGTTATTCCTTCCCAGGTGTAGGATCCTACACTTGCTCTTGTTGAACCTCATTGGGTTCCTCTCTGTCCAGCTCTCCAGCCTGTCCACATCCTGTTGAATGGCAGCACAGCCTTCTGGTGTGTCAGCCACTCATCTAGGTCACTGATGAAGATGTTGAACAAGACCGGAGCCATGCTGAACATGACAGGAACCATTTCAGGTGTTTCTGTGAATTGCTACGGTGCAAATGCCCTGATGCCCTGCAGTGAGATGGGACCAGAACCTGCTCTGAGCAGTGGCTATTCCCTCCCCACCATTTCTCCAAGCCCCAACTACCAACACTGGTGAGCTTCCTGGAAGCTTCTTCTCTAAGCCATTACCAAAATGGGGCCCAAATCAGCATTTCCTGCTCCTGGCTCTGCTTGCTGCTGTGCCGGGCAGTGGCACTCATGGTGCCACGTGCTGGAATGTTTGTGCCGAGGAAGCAGAGCGTGCCGTGGCCACGGCTATTCCTGTCCTCCAGCTGCTGTTTGGCCAAAGTGGCCGCATGTTTTCGGCCCAGCTACAATTTTTAGCAAGAGAAACTGCTGCCCCTGGGCCCTGTGGCTGCGGTCAGCACATCTGGGAGACTGCAGGCTCAGCTGTGGGGCTGGCTGCACGTGGCGGTACCCGTGTGCCCACACTGCCCCTCCAAACACGCCAAAAACATGGCAGAAACGTTTAAACCTTGTGCTCAGCCCATGCTGAGGCTGCAGAGGGATGGGAAGGCCATCTGAAAGCCCACGGATGGGGTTTGCTCAGCGCAGGGCAGCTGCTGGCTGCATCCCCCCGCCTCCTCTGTGCAGGCTGTGATTGCCCCAGGGCTCAAACCCCTCCCCAAAGAGCTCAGTGAGACACCCTAGGGCCAGCCCACATCACCCAACTCTGTGCCACCCCCTGCCCAGCCCCTGCGCCCTGTCTGCTCCCAGGCCACAAGCCCTGAGATGGGGGCTTAAACAGGGCCGAAGCTCAGCTCGCATTGTGATTTCAGTGCAATGTGGCCCACCTGCATCGGGGAACATGGCTTCTTACAGTCAACATCAAGCAGAAAACAAGTGTTTGCTTCCCTTCCAAAGCAGGTGTGTAGCTCTGTTGGGAGTTTTATTTTATTAACCTGCTAAATTTGAGATGATAAATATTTTTCCGCAGCACAAAGGTGTTTATTTCCGCCTGTTTACAACCTGTTGACAAGCTCAGGGTCTCTGTTTGGAGCTGTTTACCCCTCACAGGCTGCGTACATTTCCAGATAACACCATCCCAGCTGCGCAACAGGCGGTTGCTGTTTTGCCACAGCCATGCAAATGCTCTCCTCTTCGCAAGCAGGCTGTTTCGGTCAGGTGGTGCTGGCAGCTGAGCCCGCCTAAAACATTTATTGATTTAATTTAATTCCTCTTTAATTGCGGCGTGATGGCTCTGCGTTTCCTACAGCTGAGGCTCTGCTGCAGGGGAACACCCATAACTCTGTTTCATCTCCCAGATTCAGGGAAATCTGCCCTGTATTTTGGGCATCTCCAGTCTGTCACGGACTCTGGAAGCAGGCAGGAGTCACAGGATTAACTCAGGACTTGGGGTGAAGCGTGGTAGAAGCAGGCAGGGGTGGCACATAGGGGCAAAGACACAGATTGAGCAGTGTGGGCCCAGCCCCACGTGTATGGGGTCAGCCTGGAGGGCACCCATCACCTGATGGTTTGGGGTAGTGTGTGTGCAAGTGTGTGTATGTGTGTATCTCATGCCATGTGCCCAGGCCGTGGGCACCCACCCAAGCAGTAGCAAGCTCAATCTGGCAAAGCCCCAACCTGAGGCATGTGGCATGGCGGCCAGTTTGCGCGGCACTCGCTCTGCTTTACACGTCAGTGCTTTCTGGAGACTGTTTCATTTCCTTTTTTTGGCCAGCGTGGGCCCCCCAGCTTCAGTTTCTGATTGGAGACTGAGGAGTAAATTTAGCTCGGGGATGCCCCGGCCGCACAGCTGCACGGTGGGGCTGAGCTGCACCTTGACAGATCTGTGCCTTCCTGGAAGGGCTGGGCGGCCCTGGGCCTGGTGCTTGCCTTCACCTCCAGGCCCTGCCTGCTCCCAGGGCTATTCTGAGCCCCCAGCTCTTGCTTTCGGGTTTCAGCCAGCTGCCCACAGTAACCCAGCTCTTTGTGTGGCCCCGGCTGTGCTGATGGAGCTGTACCACGCGGCCTGCTCTGCTGCTGCCACGTCGCCAGGCGAGCTGAGCCCCGTGTGCTGGTGGGATGTTGGGGCTCAACAGCTGCGAGATGGGGAGCGATGTGTGGGGAACAAAGCACATCCCCTCTGGTCTGGGGCACAAATGTGGAAGGGACCCAGTCTGGGTGTATTCTGGTAGTGAGAGTGTGCAGCCCCCTGTGCGATCTGGGCCCCATGATAGCACTGCCTGCCTCCATCTGCAGCTAATTAAAGCCTTCCTGAAGCATCTCATTTACTAAATTAAGTCTCTCTTGGTTTGAAATTAATGGCAAGCCAGAAAAGAAAGAAAAAAAAAAGGTGACTGTTTAAAATTTCACCAAAGGACACGACAGAGCAAGAGCTGCAGCTGGGTGCAGAGCCCCAGGGTTGCTTTCTATCCGTGCTTCTGCTCATTAGCAAAGCCCAGCACTGTCCAGGGGACTCGTCCTGGGCTCAGCTGTGTCACCACCACTGCCAGACCTCGCTGTCCCAGCCCTGTGGTCCCACTGAGTGCCACTGTGGGTGCCATGCAGTCCTGCTGTGAAGGCTGGGGCTGTGGTGCTGTGATGTATAATTCAGCACGCGCTCCTCAGTGTGTTGTTGCTTCTGGAAATGGTTTAGCAAAATCTTTTAATCAATAATTAGTGAGCTTGTCCTCATGAGTGCGAGGCGCGAAGGCAGAGCCTGGCTTGCAGCCTGCAGCTTTCAAAGTGGGGCCCATGAGAAATCCCTGCCCAGCGCCTGGTTCCCTGTGCTCTGGTGATTTTATCCAGCATGAGCATCTGCCTCAGGGCACAATTTGGTAAATCCATCACTAAGCACTAAGCTTTCAGCTTCCTGAGTGTGGAAAAAGCCCAAAAGTCACCATTTCTGTACCAATCTCAGGGCTCATGTCAATCCAGCATGGCAGCCTGCAGGGCTCAGCTTGGCAGGCATGGGCAGAGGGCAGTGATTTGGGCACAGAGGCATGAGGACAGCACATGGCGGGGGAGAATGGAGACTGCTGATTCCCCGTGTAAATCCTGAAAAAACAGCAACTCATAGAGCAGGAAGCAGAAATTCACATTCAACTGCAAAAACTTAGTCGCTGGGGAAAGAAAATGGAGCTCAGCCACATCCCACCCATTGGGCACTAAACCCAGTGTCATGAATGCCTGCCCATGGAGCTGGGAGAGCCCAGCCCTTCTCCAAACTGGATGGAAGTTCCCCAGAATTGTCACAACTCTCCTGCAGAGAAAAGCTTTCAGTGCATATGGGGCCATGCAAAAACCTCAGTCCTGACAGTAGAACTGGCCCCATGTCCTTCACCCCTGGCTGGATGGAGACATAGAGTGGGTGGAATGGCTGGAGGTGCTGGAGTGGCCGGGATGGATGGACAATAGTGTAGATAGAATGGATGATTGTGTTGGAGTAGCTGAGGCAGATCAGCATGGTGGTGATGGAAGGATTGGAGGTGCTGGAGTGTGCAGGTTGGATGGAGGTGCTGTGATGGATGTGATGGATGGACGTGTTTGGGTGGGTCGGATGAATGGAATTATTGGTGTAGGTTGAATAGATGGGTAGATATGTGGAGGTGGGCAGCATCGATTGAATGGGACAAGACTGATGGACTCAGTAAGGACAGATCCTCCTCAGCAAGGAGGGCACACAGCTGACAAGCTGTGCACAGCAGTGCTTTCTGCTTGCTGGCTTGCGGGCTGTGCTCAGAGCTGCCCTACAGGGGCCACTGCAAAATCTCCCTGGGGAGCGGGGATGGGTGGGGTGTACACAAGGTATGTGGTGTGGAGAGTCAGGCTGCTGCAAGCACAGGGCACAAAGGAGTATTCACACTGACATCCCACCCAGGGGACACCAGGGTGTCTGAACGCAAGGGAACAGAGCCAGAACTACCCATGTCCCCAGCATAAAGCAAATCTTTGCAAAGGACCTGGAACAAACTGCAGTGGGAGATGAGGACAGCACAGCCACAGCTACGTGCTCAGTGCCGGCACAGACCTTAGACTGCCCCAAAATTGCCCCAAAGCATCCTGCCTTAGATGTTGGTGGTGCCTGGGTATACACCAGTGTCTCCAGTGCTGATCCACGGACCCCCCCAACATTACCAGTATGTGTGTATGTGCCTCCCAGCCCTTCCCCATACTGGGGCCAACCCCACTCTGTGAGATGCAGACAGCACGCAAAGGGACACAGAGACATGGATGCAGAGTCAGCACTAGTTCAGTGTCATGTTTATTAATGTGACATCTGGAGGGATGGGGGCAAGAGGAGGCGACAGGCAGAAGTGGGTGATGGGGGCACGGTGGGAGACATCTGAGTGG